GCGTGCGTGCGTGCGTGCGTGCGTGCGTGCGTGCGTGCGTGCGTGTTTGCGTGTGTGTCTGCGTACGTGTGTGCCCGTGGTGTGAGAACGTCTCCAGCTCTGGCAAACAAATCACGTAAATCGTCACCTTGACCGTTGCAGAGAGCGCTCACTCTACGTTGCGATGGTTCGTCGTTCCACACTAGCGAACACGTACTAGGGGGGCATGCACACTATAGCCATGGCTGCTACCCCACCGCTACATCTCACCCCATGCCCACACATATACTCAACACGACAGTAACTTACACGGACGGGCTGTTCGTCCCAAGACTAGCCACCGGTCTATACGTGTACATAGCCTCCCCGCTGTGCAAAACTCCTGACGTATCTCCAGTAAGTTATGTACACATCTGCGATTGTCGTGCAGCGAAGAATGCACAGCTATAGCCATATAGCGTCTATAATATACTTTCACTAGTTGACTAGTATCGTAGCGAACTTGCGAAGTTCTCTATAAGTACAACCCTCCTGTAATCGACGCGTGTGTGACATGTGTAATGTGTGTATAGACACATGCGAGCACACATATGCGAGCGCTATACTCACGGTTGGCCTGTTAAACCATCTTCGGCGATTCCCGACGTGCTGAGACACTCATGTCGCGATCATTAGACCTCCACTCCAACTCTCGGAGTGACGCGGCGGCGGCAGCGGCAGCGGTTCTATTCTCGTTATTCGGGGGAACCAAGTTCAACCAACCCTCGCTGGACGCTCATTCGCAAACATAGCAGGCTGCTAGTCCGGCACCCGGGCGTCGTTAGTTGTGAGATTACTAGTGTAAGGTATCGCGGTGGTATGAACAGGAAATGCAGATGGAACGTCTATAGGCGAGCGCTATCTTCGGGTTCACACACGTAGAACGAGAGAGACTCTTATTTCACTAAACATGCCCGGCCATAAGCAACAACAGCATGGATATCGTCCACAGGATGTGCACATGGGACCCGTGGCCTAGAACAACAGGGGAAGGGATCTTTAGTGTTAGATAGGCTAGCGACTGACAGCATCTCTTTCATGTGGTGGCATTTCGTGGATGCGGCGTGCGTGCGTGCGTGCATGCGTCAGTACGTGCGTGCGTGCGTGCGTGCGTGGCCGCGTGCGTGCGCGTCTTTGTTGTTGTGTATTAACTTTAGACCACGCAAGTAGGTCAACCATGATCCACCAATGTCCAGCAGAGCATAATCTGCTGTCTAGCTGACCTAGTGGTCGCAGCTATAGAATCCAGGGGCCATAATATGGCTTGCACGGAATTTAATGCACCCTAAAATGGTCTTATCTCATCGATATAACACCTTCGTACATAAGTGACCATGCAAGGTACCTTTTGTAAACGTATTGTCTTCAATGTGGAATCTTCAAAATCTTGCAGTTTCACAGTAGGCCTACCTTAGAATCTCTCTCACTAAAAAACGTTTTATAGTATACTAGCAGACTTTAATACCCGTACAACCACCAAATCGTGCCTTAAAATATAAAATTCATGTAAGTGACACAGTTAAAGTTAAATATTTCTTGCAACTGAAAAGAAAACCGAAACCAAAAAACATTTTGGGAAGAGACAAAGAGCGCAATTCTATAAGTGAGCAAATAGATACATTTTGAGGTATTTTCCTTTCAACCAAGTGGTCACCGTCACCAACTGAGCACCTTTTCCCTCTATCCATCCATCCAGCCATCCATCCCATCCCATCCCATGGGATTCGATCCGATTCCATCGCATCCGACCCCATCCCATCCCATCGCATCCGACCCCATCCCATCCCATCGCATCAAATCCCAAACAATAAAAAATAATATAAAGATAAAAGACATAAAAATAATAATAAATAATAATAATAATAGTAAAAAAAATAGTAAAGTAATTTTGTTCAATTTCTAACTGTGAATTTTTGTTATAAATGAATGTAGTAAAAAAATAATTTTGAAATTAACGCTGAAGTGGCAGAAGTACATACTAAAGACTCAAAAAGTTAAAAGGGAATTTTTTTCACCAGTTGAGGTTCGAACACGGAATCTCGAGATATGAAACGGGGCTCCTACCGACTACACTACGGCGGCAGTCCAGAGATGGAGTATAATTCCCACGTATGTGATGTGGATCTCTACGCACTGCCATCTATTGACGAATAGCATTTTTTCAAATTTTTGACTTAATACAAATTTTTTTAACTTTTTTAA